TTTCAAGCAGTATTTGAAAGGCCATTTCCCATGTTTTATTTGAGTAATTTCACCTGTGTCTATTGTGTTATTTCCAATGCGCCTAAGTTCTCACAGATCCCCCTCCTCTCAAGTTTTTCCGTTATAAGTAATCAGTTTAATATACGTATACAACTTTTAATTTGTGTTTAAATTTATATGCTTGAGGTCTGTCCTGTAACAAAATATATAGATCTACTTCTTTAATAATAATAATAATATTTTCTTACATCAGTCATAACTTCTCTTCTCTCGTTTTAAGCTTGAGGTCTTATTAATACTTCTTTACTTTTGTATTTTATTTCCTTAGAGCATGTTTTTCTATCTTTGTTTTAATTTTTAGTCTTAAAGACTTAATTTCTTAAAAACCAAGTCTCACGTATATAATTCTCATGTACGCGCGCGTGTTCCCATTACAGGCTTATGTCCTTTTGATTTAAATATTTTGATTGCACAAAAGAATTAATATTCTCACAAATTTAAAATGTTCTTATAACTGCTACACAAATAGCAAACTTTTTTAGTAAGGAACTTTTTACAGATTGCCTACCCTAATCAAAACCCTTTGCACATGCGAGTAAGCTCCATTGCGCCAATTCCTATTTAAGTCAGTCAATGTATGCAAACTCGGCTGCGCCAATTCCTATTTAAGTCAGTCGATGTATGCACACTCAGCTGCGCCAATTCCTATTTAAGTCAGTCGATGTATGCACACTCCGCTGCGCCAATTCCTATTAAAGTCAGCTGTAAAACAAAAAAGAAAAGCACTCAACAAGCGCCTGTACTAATTCTTAATCGATCAATACAAGTACAATACACTGTACAAGTCATCTCACTCCTAAGTCAAATAACATCGCTCTAAAAACGCTTGTATTTATTTATTACACACACATGCTGAAAACTATTAAAAGTTTATATTACCAGTCATACACCTTTACTGATAGAATCCTATCGAATTACGTTTAGACCTTTTTAAAAATACAATTTTCAAACCTTCACATTATATAATGTTAAATCTTTGCATAGGACAACATTGTTTAGCTCATTCATTTAGGCACTTGATATCTCGCCGCGGCTATCCAGGTTCGCTAGCACAATTTTTATTATTTTTGTTCTCTTTTCATCTAGATAGCATTTTACCTTCATGTTTTAGATATAAAGACATCACATAATTGTTACATAACCTCTCTTCTGTTTGCTCTTTTTAGACTTTACTCATTATGCCTAAATTCTACGCGCTACCCTGCTACTTAAAATAATGATGAAATGTACGTAGACAACTTTAAAATAACATAAATTTTTTGCTTTAGTTTTGTGCTTTTATAACTAGGACATCTGTCCAAACACTTTGTAATAATCTTGAGCTAAACTCTGACTCTAATATAATCCTTGCTTTTTCTTCACTGAGGCTCCCACGGCTGCATGTGTTCCACTAAAGTAACTGGTTTTCGAGTCCAGTTATGAATTATAAACAACAAAACATACACACACGCATGTTTATCTTATCTTAAGCTTTATTATACTATGTCACTCACTCAATCGTTACAACCTTTATTCTTATATTTAACACTTTAGCTCTTTATACTCACTTAGAACAACTCCATTACCTTCATTTATTAGTGAAATATACGTAAACAATTTTTTAAATTATACAAATTATTTTGCTTGAAGTTTGTGCTCTTTTTTTTTTTGACTGGACATTTGTCCAACATCTTTTAATTAGACTTTGAAAAAAAATGCTGACTCTAATATAATCTTTTCTCTTTCTTCCCTGATGCTCCTACAGCCGGGTGTGTTCCACAAAGGAACTGGTTTTCGAGTCCAGTTACGAATTATTAAAACATATATTTTCACTGTCTCCGAGTAAAAGGGATCAAATATGTCCCTTTTATTCGTGTTTCCGTTTAGGTAGAGATATGTGGAACATTAGGCAACAACTTTTTCCTACACTAATTATGACAGAACGCTCCGCTTTCGACTTTTTGTCTCTTGATTTTTTAAAGAATGTTTATAATTTTAAATCTTTGTTCTATTCTTAAACCTTATAATTCCTTCTAAAAATTGTTTAGTGTATACCCACTTTTTATTCAGCTCATTTTTTTAGCCTACTTAGTCCTATATTTTCTCCCCTATTAAGATAACCTTTCTTCTGTTTCACAAATTTTTTTTGAGATTCAATTCAAAATTCACTTCCATAAGACTGTAAGTTCCTCTATTTTAATTAAGTTTATAAATTGAATAAGCGAGGCAAGCTTACACATATCTGTTCGAGCTTCAAATTGTGTCATGTCGCATACACGCATTTTTTTTTTCTAATTTCTAATTATGATAACAAACATGCACGTGCTATGCCCATCATAGTCTAATCATGCCACGTCACCCGCGCGTTAAGTCATTACATTTCTTCTTTTACATATTAATTGCGCGCACTTTTTTAATTTTTAGTTTCACCCCTTTGCTTGAGAAATATGCGTAAACAATGTTTAAATTTTAAATATAAAGTACTTTGCTTGAAATTTTGTGTTTTTTTACTGGACATCTGTCCAACATCATAATTTTTATTTTTAATGCTGACTCTAATATAATCTTTTCTCTTTCTTCCCTGAGGCTCCTACAGCCGGGTGTGTTCCATAAAGTAACTGGTTTTTGAGTCCAGTTGCGAATTATAAATAACCTAACCACTGTCTTAACTGGTAGGAGGAAACATGAGAGACTTTGTCTCTTCATTTTCTTATCCGTTTGGAAGAGATATGAGGGATATCAGGCAATAACTTTGTCTGACTACAATCTCTACGGTACAATAATCTCTCAACATTTTGTCTCTATTTTTTGAAGTTTTAAATATTTTTTATCTTTGTTTGTTTTATATCTTAAGCGTCTTTCAAATTGTATTACGCAAATCTCTCATAAACACACACCTCTACCTTTTAATATAGAATATACTTTAAATATAAAATAATTTAACACGTAGTTTAAAATAATAAATAAATAACAAAATAACTAATTAAACAATAGTGTAAAATAAAGATTTTCATTATAACACAACATAATATAACTCTAATACTAACAAATAGCTCCACCGATAAGTTTAAATTTCAATAATCATATTTTTTATTTAACACTAAAAGTACCAATCCACTCTAACAGCACCCAGTATCTAGCCTATCGCTATGGTGATTGATCTTAAAGTAGTATTCTACTGCTGTTTTAACACTCTGCTCCTTACTTGAAGTGTCAGTTAAGATTTGACCGCGAGTAGATCAACTGACTGAGGGGGCAATTGCTGACCCAGCATTGATCGAAGCTGGTGAAAAGATCATTAGGCTTATTTGCTTCGTTGGAATGGAATCAGGGTGCTTTTAACAGTTGAGAATCCACTCTCTACTAATACCATGAACCGATACTCCTACATCTATGCTATCGCTTGGCTATTCGACGTGGGGTGGTTTTAGCTGCTTTTTTAATGCTCTGCTCCTTATGCGAAGTGTCGGTTAAGATCTTGCCGTTAGAAGTTCAACTTGCAACGGCTTACCCGACATCGTTTTAAGTACTGGTTAAAGATCATTTAGTTCGTTTGATCCGCTGGAATTGGATCAGTGTGTATTTTAATAGTTGGGAAGCCAATACCAACGCATATCCTGAAGAGATACCTAGATCCCCTAATTAAATCACTTCAACCATATCAATCCACTAATAAAAAAATCTAAATTTTTGCTTAACTTCTTTCAAAGTATAACTCTCAAAAAAAATTAAAAAAAAAATTAAAATATAACTTTAAACAATAAAATATAACTTTAAATAATTAAAATCTAAATAAACTATGATTACTCAATAAGTTTAAATTAATAAAAAAATAAATAACAACTTATTTAAAAAAATAAAAAAACCTATAATTCTTTCTCGTCCCCGTAATCCTTAATCTTTGAACTTCTCCGTAGACACCTGTCTAAACTTTGCATAAATCTATTACTTATAATATATCGTAGTAATTGTTTCCTTTTTTCTTCCCTTAGGCTGACAGGTCTAGCTTGGATATCGAATAAACAGACTTTGTCTGATTATCTCGATTAAACACTAACCCTAACCTTGACGCTAACCCTAGCCGTGACTTTATTACCTTTATATAGAGAATTTTTAAATTTTTTTTATTTTAAAATAAAATAAATTTATTAAAGTAATTTGTTTTAAATGTAAATTAATTATTTTTCACTGTTCTCTGATACACATACGCACACATGGATATACTGATTACAATAGACATACTGTGGTATTCATACTACAACAAACACATCATCATCATTCATCAATCAACAAATTATTTCACAGGTTATTATAATAACATTTATATATCATTTAAGGTCTTGTTACCTACAAGTCTGTTATAAATGTCAAGGAGACTTCCATTATACTTTAACTTGATACTCTTAACTTTAACTTTCTTGTATCCTCCTTTAAGTTATTTTTTGCTCAGTCTAGTTTCAAGGTTGTAGTAGCTACAACCCTGACTAAAACTAACCCTAATTCTGTAAATAATTTATGCTAGCCTAGACAATAGCTTTTATGAAAATTTCATCTTTTGAAATATTTTTGGTCAGGGTTATATTAACTTGCTGTTTCTAAACGAGTGTATCAATAGTTTTACATCGTTACTATATTTAAAAAGAGTATTGTTAGTGTGGTTACAGCGTTGTTGAAATCAATTTTAACAAAGTATGTGACTAGTTGTGACAGTTTTTGACACAAATTAAATGGTAGATTTTAGTTGATAAGGATTTTTTTCTTTATATTTTTTTGAAGAATTGCCTCCGGTTTACTTTCAGTTATGACATATCGCTGTTAAAAGTCATAAAAAATGTTTTGAGAAAGTTTGTTTTGATCAGAGATATAAAACTTTAAAATAGGGATTAAAAAGAGCTGATCAAAACAGATTTTCTCGAAACATTTATTTTGTTATTTGAGTAATTCTAGCATTTAGCTTTATATATTTTTTGAACTTTCTTTTTGAACATTATAGAAGACAGGTAAGTGTTACTTTTTTATTTGAATTTTTTTACTACGTTTTCTATACAATTTTCTTATTCTCAATGTTTTTGTTAGTTATCTTAGGACAAGCGACAATAGTCATTAAGAAATATATAAAACAGCGTCTGTTATTAACAAACGTTTTAACGTAATGAAGTGCTACTCAAGCGCTGAGTTGGACGTTGCAGGAATTAAACTCGTCTTGCTCACTATTCCGGGATTTCACTTTTCGTTTGATGCTCTAGGGTTAGTGTAAGGGTTATATATAGTTGTTTAAGTTACATATAGCATCAACATAAAAAATAAGGCTTTTAAAGGAAAAATATTGTTTTTTATACAGCCAAATTTATTTATTATCACAATAAGAAAACAAAATAAGCAGGGAAACAGTACCAGGGGTTCTAAATTTTCATATATATTTTTTTAAATATTGCTTACTTTTAGGCATTTTAAAAAATACACAAGCATTCTTACAAAAACAATAACCGCAATAAATCGTTTGTAATCTAGCAACATTTATAATAAACACAGGGTACCATTTATGAAAAAGCTGTTAAATTTTTTAATTATTATTTTTAATTACTAATTTGTAACGAAAAAAAAGATGTTTTAAATCAAGTCTCTCTGTTTTAATTATTATTATTTTTCATCTTTAGACTAAATTACGTATTTTAAAGTACTGCTTTTTTTCTCAAAAAAACATAATAGTAAAATACATTATAAGTGATTCCGTTCCTGCAATTTAATGAACTGCATAATGATTTAAGTATATATATATATATATATATATATATATATATATATATATATATTTATATATATATATATATATATATATATATATATATATATATATATATATATATATATATATATATATATATATATATATATATATATATATATATATATATATATATATATATATATATATTGACCCTAAGTGCAAAAGAATTGTTATTGAGTCTTTCGTAAAATAAAAGTAATTTGGTAAGCTTTTCTGTTTTGTGATGTTGTTTGTTGAGTTTTTCTGTTTTTGTAACTTTTTTTGTTTTGAGGGCCTTTCATTGTTATTAAAAATCTAATATTTATAGAAACTTAGAATCTTTGTAATTTTTACATATATACACTGCAATATTTAATAAACGGACGGTATACTTCAAAGTCTATAGCAAAATAGTTCTAGGTTGAACGGACCTCGATTTTTATACAGTTTGAAATGTATTAAAACTGACGCCCGTAAGATCTTCGAATGACATACTATTCAAACCGACAGAATTGTACCTTTTACTGGACCTCTTGCAGACAGCTTATTCCCACTGGTCTAGGTTTTTGACGCATAGTTTCATATTGAACCCAGATAGCATTTTATTACTTTTTACATTTAGCGCGCGTTTTTTAACTGTTTAATGTTTGTTATTGCAAATTTGAAATTTTTTTTCATGTGTCGTATTTTTTGATTTAACATAGAAATATGGTATTTATAGAAAATGTTTATATTAAATTTGTTTTAAAGGCAATAAGTTGTGTTATGCACATGAATATTTGATCTGGCATATATAATATGCCATAATTAGTTTAAAAAAAGGTTTAACTTTCATATTTTAATGCAAAACAAATATTATCATGCAATAATTTAATTAAAAACTGTTTTTATCTAATTTTTTTTGGAAATTTTAGCTTCAGTTAAATGTTAACAATAGTTTTATAAAATATATAAAATTATTAAAATCAAGCATTTAACTGTGTTTAAAAGTATACACAATCATTCATATTGTGAAATAAAAAATAGTTCAAATCGTCTTACAGTTTTACAAATGTATGCAAATAAATAAACATTGCATATCTGAAAATCAATAATGAAATAAAATAAATGATGACAAAAACAACAGTTTAATTGTCAAAAGTTGATTTTCTTGAAAATTGTGTCATATTTCAGTATGACATATTTATTATGCTGTTTTAACTTTTTCAGTTGCAAATATCAGTTGCAACTGCAAGTGCTGACATGCAGTCTGCACGGAATCTAAAACATTATTATTTTACTGTTATAATTAATGATATTTTAGCAAGTATACAATGTTATTGAATTAATTTTTAATTCTTGCCCAAACTAACATAATATCAAATCATTAGTAGTCTTGGCTAAGAGTTTCATATTGACATAGTTTTACAAAGTCAAAAATAGTCATTACTATTAACATTTTGATTATATCTAACTAAATAATAATATGTATTGATCATAACTATTTGTTTTATTTAATATTTAATTATACTAAAAAAATAAAATGATTTATAGTTAAGACTTATACTACATTAACCAATTTGTTAATTAACTTTTTATTACAGTAAAAAATCCACTTACAAATAGAACCAAGGTAACAATTACAATTATATTCATGATTATACTAACACAAGAAGTTTCAATTATCTTTTACCAAGTTTTTTTTAATTTGATGATGCACTTAAGTTACTTTTTATAACTATGTATAATAAATTTGTTTCACGGCAAAACAAATTTATTTCACTGCAAATTCTGAAAAACATTAAACAACCTGATATAAATTAATGAATAACTGATTTTAAATGATTGATAACTTTACATTAAAATAGATGCTACCATATAGAGTTTAATAAAATAAGTATTGGAATGATACAGTTATTTAATAATATAATAAGTGTTTTTTTTAAATTTTATTCAAAATTTTTATTTAATAGTATAATAAGTGTATTTTCAAATTTTTATTTCAAAGTTATAAAAAGTTTATGAAACTTTTGTATATTATGATATAATCATATTATCAATAACACAATGATATATTGATTTACTATAACCGAGTAACAAAAACTTTCAAAACATTTATGATTACTCAAACATGCTGTGAAATAAGTAAAATATTAAATAGTTTTTATTCTGTTTAGCGATGATGAAGTTTTGATTTTGTTTTACAATACTTAATATTTAATTTTAGTTTTACAACAAAGCCTCGAAAAACTATAATACTCTGTAATAATGAATTGAAAAACACATTTTAAATGACATTTTAATTTTGCTGCGGTTTGATTATTTAATACACTCTTTGATAAAATGATCATGAACATGATATTGAATAATTAAATATCATGCTTTACCATATATGGTAAACCATAATTGATAAATAAATATATTAATATTATTTTATTAATCAACTGATAAATGAACATGTAAATAAAAAATATAAAAAAGTACCCCGAAGGCTCAAAATAAAGTTTGCGTGAGAACTCCTGCAAGGGTAAATTTATTCCAAAATATGTCAAATTACTATATATTTGCTTTTTAAATAGGTTCATTTTTAATACTTATTATTAACAATGCTAAACAAACTGTTCTTGATTTAAATAAGTATGTTATCGTTAGGTCATATATTATAGTTGATGTTATACTATAGATGACATATTATTTTTTAACTAACTCAAATCTCAGCAGTAATCAGTTCACAGATAGTCAGACCAAAATCAAGAATTCCTGTAAATTTTAAAACTCTATATATTTTTGATATGCAAAAACTTTTTTTGTTTAGTTTGTTAAACTTTGTAAACTAATGGTTTATGATATTAAAACTCAGGCAAGGAAACTTTTCTTTAACTTAACAAAACGCGAAAACATATATAATATAACAAAACTTGCCAGGTAAAGGGTACGTTTTCCAGATTTAGATAAACGTTTTTTGGGAGATTTTGAATAATTTTTTATTATTTCTGCTTTACTTCTATATAACAGGTTATTACAATGGTATTCTTAATTTTATAAATCCATTGACTTTATTATTTAAGCTAAAAAATTTTTTAAGTGAAAGCAATTTTGATTGTGGCAATCTTTGGGCTGACCATTAGTATTGTCTACATTTTTCTGTCAGTTTTTACTCCCCCATTCCCCTAGTCAACAACTTGTCAAACTTCTAGAGAACCCCTAAAATTACGTCATTATTTGATTACTTGCCCCAATCACCTGTATAAAAATTTAAAAGCTATTCTTTTTTTTTTGTTTTTTAAGTAACGAACCTTTAAATTTTAAATTAATAGGAATGCTCTAAGAATAATATTATGATCAACTATATAACGTAAAATAATCTATGAATATATTCAATGTTGTAACAATGTTATTATGATCAACTTTTTATTATAAAAAAATGAATACACAATAAAACCAATGAATTTAATCAGTGATATGAAAATAATATTAAAACAGAATAATATTAACTTTAGAACACTAAAGTTATTACACAATGACATTGTGTTATTAATTATATGGTTATAACAAAATATAGTTACATTTGATATCTTTTTATAACTTTGTAAACATATGCATAATATTGTATAGTTATTTGACTATAAAAAAACCATTAAATATTTACTACGTTACTATATATTATCAAACCCCACACTTTTGTTTAGTTTTCAAGTATATATGCATCTAAGAGTTCTTTTTCAGTTACATCATAGTTATCCATCCTAGAAGTTTTTTTAGGAATAAGATATGACTCAAAGTTTAATTCAGTTGTTTTAATTTTCGACACTAAAATTGAACCCAAACTAATAAAATATTGAATAAGTGTTTCAACAAATAAAAGTTTTATTTGTGATAAATTTATTAATAATGTTTAGATTTATAGAAAGACTACTTCCGTTAGTTATATTGGTACAAATTGTTTACTTAATGTTAAACTTTATGTTTCAGAACTTTTCTAGTCGTTTTTATGTTTTATTAGTTACTCCGTATAGTAATATTTCTTTGACTTTTTAATAACCATCTCAAAAATTTTGTTACGAATACCTTTTAATCTTTGACCTTTTTTAAAGTTTTTCTTTACGCGAGGCTTTAAATATAACTAAATCAAAAATCGTTTCAAAATAAACGCACTATGAAAAAATCAAATGTTGTATTTAAATTTTTTTTATTGGGAATATATTTTTCATGATAAATTTAATCGTTTGAAACTATTTTTCCATGTCGTTCTTC